TTATTTTCCAAGCAATTATAATACACAATAAAAAAAACTCCACGAAAAAGAGCAATCTTAATAAAAACACAAATAAACAACACCTTAAAAACTGCTGGGTCTGCTCTATATCCAAGAGAATAAAAAGTTCGTTAAAAACGTCGGCTTTCTGAAAGAAACCCGGTCGTATATCAGAGAGCCAAGGGTCAATCGCAACTGATTTTCAAGGGTTCAGTTCAGTTGTTAGATTTGCAGGAGACGCCCTGAACGAGATGCTACGGTCATTTCTGGGGAGGAGGATGCTTGTTTTACAAGAGCCGCCGACAGAACAAGCGGACGATTGGCGCCAAGCCTCTGGAGTGGCCCGGCGATTTTCAAGGGGGCTGACCCGACCTTTTATACCCATAAGGTCAGGCGCCAAGGTCAGTCCCCTCGAGTCTGCTTAGCATGACTCGTTATACGGTCGTTACAGCTTTTGTTTCGTTATCTTATTGATTGCTCATTTTCTGTAGGTATAAAAATAAATAGGAGGCTTTTAATACAAACACAACATCATTCATATACATAAAAGAAACAAAAAATAGAATATATACAGGAATTAAAACATAAAAGAAGATGAAAATTACGCCGACTAGCCAACAAGGCTTGGCGCCAATCACCCGCTTGTTCTGTCGGCGTCTCTTGTAAAGCAAGCATCCTCCTCCTCGGAAATGACAGTGCATGACTGTCTGATGCCCTTTGGCAGGCGAGTCATTGACCAATATTAGCCCTACCTACTTCCTATGATATACGTATATGTTTATGACATTACAGTGCGCCTGTCCTTGTATTTCAAAGGCCTGGTAACGCACTCGAGCACAATACTTATTTTAATATTAAATTATGTACGAATGAAGTTTTTTAGAACAATGTACACTGCATGATGTGATTTTTTTTTCTTCTTTTTTACAACGGGGATGGATGAAAAACTTGAACCTTCAGTAGGTGGTCGATTGATCGGAAAAGTTAGACCACTTTCTGTAATGGTTGACTGATGTTCCGCTCTCCCGATGTGGTGCCCGGGCATTTATCTTTCTCAGTTGTCGGAACATCAGCATTCAAGATGTTGGAAGTAGCTGGGCGACCGAATGTCATTTTGAGATTTGCACTGCAGAAAAGTAGCAATGAATTACTCTTTTCATCTAGTCATACATTTCTTTTGATTTTTTTTTTTTTTATTTTAGGAAGAGTGGAAGGCTCTTACTTCTTTCCCCTGACGACGCCATGAGTGAAGTTGACATGGAATAAGAGAGCTCAGCGGTGAAGTTATCTGGGCAATGCCATCCTATAGTCAAGATATTAATCCCGGGAGCTCAGAACACACATAAAAGAACTCAATATCAATCATACATCATGATCCATTCCCGTACCTCGTGTGACCCACCTATTATTGTATCACTGTTTCACTGCACACGGTATGTTCATCATTTATGCTTTTCACAGCAAAGGCTCTCATGAATTCCAGCACTACCGCGATGAGAAAGCGATCACTAAAACCTTGACGTAGAGTTTATAAAAATCTTCGGACCTAAATACCAGAGTATAATCGAGTATTTTAATCACTAAAGAGACTCCCGCCACACGAAACGCTTTTAATCTCTCTCTCTCTCTCTCTCTCTCTCTCTCTCTCTCTCTCTCTCTCTCTCTCTCTCTCTCTCTCTCTCTCTCTCTCTCTCTCTCTCTCTCTCTCTCTCTCTCTCTCTCTCTCTCTCTCTCTCTCTCTCTCTCTCTCTCTCTCTCTCTCTCTCTCTCTCTCTCTCTCTCTCTCTCTCTCTCTCTCTCTCTCTCTCTCTCTGTCTTTTACACGCACGCGCACATCCACATCCACCCACACACAGACACAAAACACACACACGCACACGCACACGCACACGCACACACACACGCGCGCACACACACACATACACATGCATATATAAATATATGTTTATCTATATATTTATATAATTATTTGTCCATCTATTTGTTTATCTATCATTTCACCTAACTATCTTTCTATCTATCTATCATTTTGGTAGTAGTGACTTCAGTACGTTATTGTGTTTGTGTCTTGAAGAATCCTTTGGGTTATCGTTGTTGATATTCCACCTCACGAGTTTACATCACGTTTGTAGAGCAATGTGCGCCACAATGGGCATGTTTGATTGTTTCCTTGAATGACCATAATGTGTTTAACATTACAGTTCCGAAGAAAAATCATAATTCTTTTTTCTTATGCGCGACATTTTTTATGGAAAGGTCTCTTATGTACTATGTATATGTATAGTGAATTCTAAAATATTACTCATTCTCATTTCTTTTTTCATCCCAAGTTTTATATCGATAAAACACCGATGATATGAAAATCCACCACTCATATATGCCTCTTTCACGTCACGAATACTCATACCATTACAAAATATCCCGTCAGTAAAAGCAAAGGCAGGATATATCCATCCTGCCTTTGCTTTTACTGACGGATACCGGATACCGCATGGCTAGCACTATGAAAACGCTTGTTTACATATCAAAGCGCGAGGGGAGGAAGCACGTGCGCTTCAGTTTGGCGTATGTGTGTTTCACATTGACGATTCATCTAGTTGAAGGGCACTCAGGAAGATAGTTCATCATGAAGTCGGGGCCCAACATTCTAATCACAGGTAAGATTAACAGATAATTTCTGGCACAGACTAACAGTAACGACAAGGGTCCCTGTGTATGGGCAGGTTATGACAACGCATTTAGTGAATCTTGTAAGGTCTTCTGGCATAAAGCAATCATTACTTGATTGCTCTTGATCTAACGATGTCATGGTCTTGCTGCACGCTTCAGCAAACATGTTATGTTCATCATCATGTGTATTCTAAAGGACAAGCTAGACTGTAGAGTATTTTTCTTGCTTGGGGAATATTACACTTTTTCATTTATGGGTAACATCGGCAAAACTAATTAAGGCAGCTGAACTACATATACAGAGGAAATTATAATAGAATTTTTGACTAGTGTTTGTACATGTCAGGGAAGTTAATAAAATTGTGGGGACCTCACTGGTTGTCCTTGAATTCAAATTCAAGGCTTGCCTTTCTAAGAGTCCACAAACCCCGATGTCTCAAAATACTGAGTTTTCTTAAAAGTACGGCGAAATACCCTTAGGAGAGGGATAAGGAAATACTCCATGGAAAGGGGCCCAGGGGCTTGCCTCCGGTAGGGAAATACCCCAGGGAAGGGGGTGCGGGTTAAGTTAGGTTAGGATTTTGGCAACACTGACACTGGCACATCTTGCATCGACACTAGACTCTCGGATATTTAAAAATGTTCACTTTTGATTCCACTAATTCTCCCGTGTATGTGCCCTTCCCCTTCAACCCCTGATTCTCTACGGGTCCCCCAAGATTGAAGGGGGTAGGAGAAAAAAAAAAAAATCACAAATAGGCGCAGCTGTCTTACTTAGAATTACCAAAACATCATTTTGTCTACATTTGCGCGGATGGATGTGTGGACGGATGATGAAACAAGTGTGCGGAAAGGTCAAAAGAATTTTATGTGTGGAAGATGATTTAAAAAAGAACTAAGCATGCACGGAAAGTTACCCAAGAATTACATTTGCACAGTCCGGAGGACAAAGTCTTTGAAGCATAGACTACTTGACTGCTTCAAAGTTCTATGACCATAAACTGCTTGGAAGGTCTTCAAAATCCAACTCATCAGAACGGGTAATTTTCTAAAATATGTCTGCCAAACGGATTGCAACATTTTTGGTATCGTTGGATTCGTCTCACACATCAATGCCACTATGTAGGTTTTATTGCGCAGAAGCACCCCACATTCTTGGCCTTGATAACAGGGGAGGTCATGAAAGGTACCAGAGAAAATGCAGGGTAAAATGTAAATTATATACACAGAATCAGTCACATATAGTCTAATGCAGGTGGCATGAGGCAACATAGACTCCTCTACATATTCCTGGCAGGCGAGAGCGGATGACTGCCATGCAGAAGCAGTGTTGCTAAGTCTGTCTGATGCTCTCGCCTGCCAAGAATAGGTGGATGATTCTTTGTTTTCCTGGGTGGGGGCTGGGGAGCAGCAGCCTCCCATGGGGGGGGGAGGTTGTTGGGGTTGTAGACAATATAGTGACTGTTTCTGTGTATATCATTTACCTTTTTCCCCGCAATGTCCCTAGTACCTCTCATGCCCTCCCCTGCTATCGGGGCCAAGAAAGTGGTGGTTTTGGGGGTTTCCCTGCAATAATTTCTATTTATCTGGAAAATAGACTGTGAGAAGAATCCAACATTACCAAAATGGTCACAATCCATTTGGCAGACCTATTCTTGAAAATTACATCAGCATGCTTATGCCATGATAATGCTTGATAACTGAAAGTAATACAGTTTGATAACTGACATAAGTAAATATTATTTCTACTTCTCTTTATGATAAACTTTGTTTTTAAAACTTTGCTCTCAAAGACAGTCATAGTTTCTCATATAACTTTATGTGATAAAGATTAGATAATTTTTTAGTTTCACACTACCATCCTACCTTGCTGTTATTATTTTTTGTTTCAATTACTCACAGCTTGATTTCTTGTCAATTTCCAGTTCAACTGATACAGGTTAATGTAATTGTTGATGATTGACTACACCCCTCTGAGAATAAGTCCAGCTATTCCTTGGAATTCACAAACATCATAGTATGGATTATAAACCTTCTTAGCATAGGGCTTTGTGCCCATACCACCTCCCTATTCTTGTATTTCCCTATCGTCTGACCCCCACACAATTACTATGGACTTACTCATCGTGTGGAACTTAAATGCAACCCAATTTCTTAGTTTCTATTATTTTAAGTAGCATTTTTTTAATAGGTATTGCAGTTATTGGGCTAAACAACTTTGGGCTACTGATCAAGTAACTTTGATTCTATATATTCCTTTACAGGAGTGTTTGAGCACCTACCCATGTATAATGGCATGTTTTTGCTTTCTGGGGGAATTACTTTAATTCTCTGTCTTCTGCCTCTCTTGGATTTGTAAATAAGTTTGCAGTGCACCTCCATACATATATTATAAAGTATCTTTCCATTTTTGTAAAAAGAAGAGACCTTTTACTTTTCCAGTAATAAACAATTATCATGTCCTCTAATTTTTGGATAAGAATTCTGTTCCTTTGTTATTATATTTTTTGTGAGGCTAGAATTCCGTACTTTGCACGAATAAGCCTAACTTTGGTGCACAGGTGTTTTCTATAATTATAGTATTAGTAATGTTCAACATCTTGTTTTAAAGGTGATCCATCTTATTCATTTACTTTTTTGATGACTCCTTTTGACTCTTTTGATGACTCAATATGATGACTGAAGCTCATGCCACTACTCACAAACAGGCCTAGATCATTTACAACAATTTTTGTTGTTGACAGAATATGATCTATGTCTATTTCAAAGGAAGCATTTGAATCAAGAACATATACAGGATGGCTAACAAGAATATTTTCTTTTCAGGAACACCTGGTGTGGGCAAGTCAACATTAGCACAGCAACTAGCTGAGAGGTCAGGGCTGGAATGGATAAATGTTGGAGACCTTGCAAAGAACAACAACTTTTTTGATGGTTATGATGAAGAAAGAGGTTGCCCCATTCTAAATGAAGATAAGGTTGTTAAGTTATATAATTTTCAGTTTTCGTGTATATGATACTGAACTTCATTTAGTTAATTTATTATCTTTGTATATTTATGAAGTCTTTCTGTGAAGATGATAGATTTTCAGTTTATATATACATATTTACATATTTCTTATTGATAGTTACATACTACTTTTTGCCTTTATAAGTTGGTAAAGGATTTCAGTTCTTAATCAAAAGAGATAAAGTATACAAGACCAAGTGTTTGTAACTTGCATGAATTTTATTTAATTAGTAATTTTGACTAGATAATCAAAATATGTTGTTGCTTTTGTGAAAAAATGTTTAGGTTTAACCCAATGTCACTAGGAACATGTAATGTTCTCTGTGGCATTGTTTTATGAAATGTGCTAGACATGCATAACTTAGCCAAGGAGTCACCTATGTGACCTTGCCTAATTTTTTTTCATAATGTTGTTAATATCAAGATTTTTATTATTATAATTTATAATATCGTTAACAGCACTCATAGCAATTTGAAATAAGATAAATATTTCTGAAAATTGAGGAAAAGGGGTAAATAGGTGAGATAGGTAGTACTAGAAATTGACTATTGGCTAAGCACTTATGGAACCATTTAAGTTTAAACAAAATTAATAGGCTAAACTTATACTGGGCTGTGCTTGACAGTATTGGGTTAACATTTAAAACATGAAAGGGGACTCTTGACATGCCTTATATAAAGTAGTTGATCATACATTTGTTATATTATTTGATAATATATATTGAACAACTGCGTATTTAATTAAACAGTTACATTTTATATTCTCAGTAAGTGTAAAAATGTATGCTTCAAAATGTAATATGAAGTACTTTCCTCACACATCATGTAGTGAAGTAAATATTGCAGGATATTGATGTAGAATCTGGGTAACATATAGATGTTTTATGAAAAAATGTTGATATGCCATACTATACCAGTATACCTCTGTTCATCAGACTTAAGATGTTTTTGTGTTGCAGGTTCTAGACGAGATGGAAGATATGATGGAAGAGGGAGGAAAAATTGTTGACTACCATGGCAGTGAATTTTTCCCAGAAAGATTCTTTGACATAGTCTTTGTCCTTAGAACTGACAATACTCTGCTGTATGACAGACTTGCTGCCAGGTACTGTCCTTGTATTGTTGTTTACATTACCTAAATTGTTTGTGAGAATCAAAGACAATCATCCTCTTCATCTTCATATCTCAAAAAAAAATTTTGCTTGATGGGTAGGTGACGTGAATATACTGTCATGGAAAATTTGGCTGAGGGCTGGGGTGACGGAAACTTGCTGTAATGAAGGCTAGGATCATGGGAATGACTCAACAAGAGTGCCGAAAGGTCTTAGAGGGTGATTAGACTCACTAGGCAATTAAGAAGGGCTTTTGCATTATTTCCATCAAGAAATGATTTTGGAATGTACCATCCATGAGCCATGACAGGAAGAATGCCAGCACCAGGGAGGACACTATTTCCATGCTCAGTACTTTTATTTTAGTAAAATGCTTTAGGTATGATTATTAGCCTCAGTCTACCTCTCCGTTTAAAAATAATAGAAATTTATGGTAAGTTCATGTTTTAATACTTCATAGTTGCATTCCAAGTTTGATGAAGTCCTTTATTCCCAAATTAAGGTGATATTTTGAATATGATTGTTAGCTTAATTTCTTGCTTTTCAGATTAAACTACTTTTTTCTTCTGATTCCTTTTTCTTTTACAGAGGTTACCAAGGAAAGAAATTGGAAGAAAATGTTGAATGTGAGATAATGGCAGTTCTTTTGGATGAAGCAAAAGATAGTTATGCAGAACACGTGGTCCATGAATTGTTTTCTAACACTCCAGAAGACATGGAAAGTAATTTAGAAAAAATTCTATTGTGGATTGAAGCTTGGAAGAAGGAAAACGGGGTTTGAAATAAAATAGGTTTGATAGGTACTTTTTAGTTTCATTTATTCTTTCATAATATACAATTCTATGTTCATACTATCAACAAACTGCCTTTTCTGACAATTTTCAACACTGCAGTACACATTGCCACAAAAAACAAGGATTTCATGATGTTGATGGGTCATATATATATAAATGCCAATACAATGAAAATGTACTTTAGAATAATGTATCAAGTATTTGTGTAAATGAGAGCCAAAAAGAAAATACTCTGTATCTGTTCTGAAAGGACACAATTATGAATTACAATGTGAACATCTATTAGCTCACAAACAGCTAAATGTTTATGAAAAAAATGTATTCAAGAATACACCTTGTGACATTCTTTACATTATAATTTTACATATCTTGCATTACTGTGCAGAAATGACAGTTTTTCCTCTAGCATGACCATTGATGACATGGGTATATGCATCTGGTGCAGCCTCAAATGGAAATACTTTATCAATTACTGGTCGAATCTGGAATATAAAATTAATGGTGTTAGGACAGGTCAGTCATAAACTAAGAGTTAACTTTATACAAAAAATTAACCAAAGAGGCATCCTCTTCAACTAGGTTCCAGTATAAGTGTGTATAAAGTAATTAGGGAAAAAATAAGGATATGGTAAGAAAATTAAGATTCTTTGTACATGTAAATAAATAATATTAATCACTTTCTAATACAAATATCAAATTATTACTCTTTACAGAAAAAGAGATTAAGTTTAACAGATAAACTGTAACTGGATTCCTTTGTTGTAACAAATAAAAGAATGAGAATAAGTATATAATTGTTATATACTTCACTTTATTGTATATAAAATTATGCTATCTATGTAACAGATATAGGAATTGTTGAAGAATCATTCTTCTCCATACTGTACATTTACCTTATTCTTTGACATCATATTAGATATCTCCTTTAAAGCAAATGGATTTGGCATGTAGAAAGCCCATTTGTATGCTCTTCCTTCTGACAATGATGATACATTTTGACACGCTACTTGTTTGAGGCTCTGGAAAAATAGGAACTGATCAGTATCCATAGCAGCTTTTAAAGCTATGGAGATATATAAGCCATAAGATATTTGTCTGAAACTATTATAAAAAAAAATACCATAATTTAACATCACTTTTCATTATTGTTTATGTACATATGAAACAATTAAGATGAACTGAAATGAAAATGTATATAATGCAAATTATATATACAATGGTAAGTCCATCAAAACCAAATTCAAATAAAGATGACCTGGAGAAAATCTAGTGTCTACTAAAATTCAGTTGAGTATACACAAACCTTGATAAACCCAGGCAGTATTCCCAACTCATCTGTATTCCGCAGAAGTGGGGGTGATAAGGTAATATAAGATGATCCCATCCAAGGCCGCAATGCTTGAAGATAGTCTAGATCATCAGGACCAGCAGCATTAATCACAACATCAAACCTTCAGAAGAAAAATTATATTAAAATAAAGTACAGCATAACTACTGAGTTTTTACTGGTAGGATGATTTATTAATGTACCCATTCATGTTCTACTTTTTAATTTAAATTAATTTTACCCTTGATCAGCAATAAGCAAATCCTTTGTTTCTGGATTTCTGTAGTCTAACACTTCCACTGCACCAAGACTGGTCACCAAATCTGAGGCATCTTCACTACAAACAGCAACAACCTGTAAAAACACATATTTGTGTACTCCAATAAATTATTTATTAAAAATATTCAGTCCAGTATTCAAGAATTTGCCTCATCTTACAATACCTGTTCTAAAGCAAATAGTGTAAGACCTAACCTGAGCTCCCCAAACAGACAGCATTTGGCACATAAATGACCCCACTCCTCCAGATGCTCCAAGGAGTAAAACCCGTGTTCTTGGTGCTGTATATTCTGTTATCAGTCCAGACACAACCACAGTGCTCCAAGCTGTAAGACCTGCATATGGGATGGAGGCTGCTTCTTCTGAAGTGATGTTAGCTGGCCTACTGCATACCTTGAGACATTACATGAAATGGATAATTAAGGAGACAATTAATGAAATTCTTAAAATATTGCATAAGCAACAAAAAATTGTGGTTTTCCTGATAATTTTTTTTCATCTAATTTCAAACTCCTTTTTTGTGTCTTACATTTGATGCTGCAGCAACTACATATTCTGCATGTGAGCCTTGGCGTTGTGGACTAACGACACCCCAAACTTGATCTCCAACAGCAACATTCTTAACAGCTTTACCAAGGGCAACGACCTCACCGGAAAAATCTCTTCCAACTGTCATAAGATACAGAAAATACAAAATAAAATATATACAAATAAAAGTGTTTGATAAAATTGTAGGAAGCTACAGTTAATGAAGTGCCCATACCAAAAAATCATTCATTTAGAAAATATTCCCTCGTTTCCTGTCCCAAGATATGTCCTGTGACGAACATTATGCAGATATTATGTTCTATTGCATTATTAAACACTTTCTTGTGTTTGGGAGGTACTTCATGGTGATGTTTTTGAAAGCATAATAAAGAGATGCTGCATTATCTGAGAAATACAAAATAAACAAAATACACTACTACAAGGATTGACACTGCACAACTTGAAGTCAGGGATGGCTATGCTTTCATACGTTCTTGCCTAAACTCACAACCAGTTTTGATTAATTTATTCTTTTTCAGTTCAAGATGCTCCATATATATTTCCAAATATTCTGAAAAAATTGTAATTACATTTTGTTTCATAAAAGAATTTGAAAAAAACTCAACTGTAGCATCATAATTAGTTCATATTAACTTGTTATTAAAACCTGACAATAAATACTAGAATATAAAAGTCAGAAAATTACCTTTATCCTGAATTTACCCTATGGTAATACCTTTAGAATTTTTTTCTGCTGTCCATGATTGAGGCTACAAAAAGATTATAGAGGGCTGTAACTACTCTATGACTCTCATTACCCCCCCCCCCCCCAAAAAAAAAAAAAAAAAAAAAAAAAAAAAATATATATATATATATATATATATATATATATATATATATATATATATATATGCTCAGGTCATGTGGCTTGGACTTTCCCTCTTAGCATATGGGGCTTGGTGTATCATGGCAAGAAAAAATGCCACCCAGTGTGATTACATTACTATCTCCCACCATGCTGAAATATCTAAGTGTTTTTAGTTATAGAAAGACCATTTAAAAAAATGCATGAATGAGAATGAATATCTTCACAATACAAGAGATATATGTATTTCTGACAAAGATATATTTAAAACCAGTCAAATACATCTCTTGTATTGGGAAGATATTCATTCTCATTCATACCTTTTCAATGTCTGTTAACATAAATACAGTTCTGACCTTCTAAGTACCTGCATCCAGTACAGGAAGAAAATATTTTCATCTTCAATATTATTGTGTGAAATATTACTAGGGCAATGAAATAAAGATTCAATAAAATATTTAATCATACTACTGTATATACCAAACACATAAGAATAATAATGAAATAAATAAATAAAAATTCACTGAAACTAAGATACTAACCTGTTAAGGGAAATTCAATCTGATTGATGTCAAATATACCTTGCTCTGCTCTGCCAAGAGTTCGCATTATATTCAAGACTTTACCACCATAGCCATCTGCAAGTAGGGGTCATATATCAGTAAAATAAGACTGGTCTGATAAAATGCTGAATTTTCCATGCTTATTTTTATAACATCCTTCTTTCCCATTGATACCAGGATGGCAAAAAGGCATGTGATTTTAGTTTATTGATTGTATTAACATACAGATGGCTCCACAAGTATTCAGCCACCAAGGAGTCAATTGCTGGGTCTACACATCTCATTGGTTTACCCTTTTCTTAGATTTTTTTTTTTTTTTTTTAACTTTTTATTGCTATTCTAATTATTAATAAAATTATTTAATAATACCAGTAATACCAATAACAACATTAATAGTAAAAGCATTAAAAAAAGAAGAAGAAAAAAAAAAAAAAAAAAAAAAATCCTCAAAGGGGTAGATCAGGTCAGGACACATAGGTATAGGGTGACTGAGCACTTGTAGAGCCATCCATGTGCAAACCAAATTCACAGAACAAAATTACAGTGGACAGTACATGTACCTTGCAGCAACAGGTTAAATATATCTTTTAATTTTCACTTACTAATCACAGCTGTATCAATAGGATTTACAGATGCAGCTTGAACTTTCACAAGTACATCCCAAGGTCGTAGTATTGGAGGGACTCGCACTACATTTAGTGAGAGTCCATCTACTCCATCATACCCATTGGACTGCCACGCCTTCATACGATATCCTATAGCAGCAGGAGCTTCCTATTGGGAAAAGCATAAATATTCATGTAGGGAGACATTCTCTTGGCCTTCCAAATTACATTCAACAATTTGTAACCTTTCATAAAGTGTGAGATGGGAGCAGATGTATGACACAGACAAGAGCATTAAAATATCTGATCAAAAAAACATTTTACATAAACTAACTTTTATAATAGCTAAATCACTCATATTAAACAGAACACCAAAGTTTTAAAATTGCTAACAAAAACATAAATAAAAAACAACTATATAAGAAAGCCTAAGCCATTCAGACAAATATAATACTACTAATATGGTCTCATATTGAAAATATAGCAAAAATGCTGACACTATAACAAAGTATTGTCAGTCTGAAAATGGAAGATATACATATTTCAGGAAAACAAAAATAAACAAACACTTAATAGAATAATCAGATTTGATTGTTCACATACCATTGTTTGAACACTGCCTCTCTTGCATGTTGTGCTAAAAAGTCTGGTCCACAATGCTTGTTTGTGAGAGTGATTTGTGATCACACTTCGAATCAGAGAACAGTTTGCCATAATAAAAGTTAGAAAAGAGAACTTCTCATAATATCTTCTAGTTTTTTAAACCTGACAAGAAAGAAAACATTAATATTAATAACCTTGTTTTTTATTTCATATTCCTACATCAATAATATTATTAATCT